GCCGGCCCGACATGACGGGGCTGGGGCCGGACCAGGAGTTTGATTTCCAGTTCCTCTTTGAGTTCGACCAGAGCGACGAGGGCGCCCCCGGAGGTGGGCCGGGCGCCGGTGGAGGGATAGGGGATGAGGGTGGGGGCGGGGGGTCGCGAGGGAAGTGGGGGGTTGAGGCGTCTGGCGTCTAGCAGCAGTGAAGCCCCCGCCGCCGGTCCCGGTCCAGTTCGGCTCCGGCAGGTGTGTGGCCCAGCGTCCCCTCGCTGCGTCCACGCTCCTGGTCGGAGCACTTGGAGGAGGCGCGGCGCTGGGCCGCAAGGCTGGGGCTTGGTCAACCGGACGCGAGTGTCCGAGTGTTCCAGGCGCGGGGCTCAGAAACGGACTGGGCACAGACGCACTTAGCTGTGGGGATCGCAGCTCCTGCCCGGCTGGACCTGGGCTTCAGAACCGCGGGCGGCCGGATCCCGCAGCCTGTAACCCGAGAGCGCCTGCGAGGATGGAAAACCCAGGGCAGCCCGCCGGCCGCTGGCAGATCGCCTCTTAGGGAGATGGGTCACCGCCGAGCTTTCAAGTTTGCGCCAAACTGCCTGGAAGGGAAAGGGGCCCCTTGTTTCATTTTCTCTTCTCTCTGGCAAAATCAAGCAGATAAACTACAGAACTCAGAGTGGACGCCCTGGGCGGGTGGCTATGGGATGACAGGCTCCGGGGTCAGAGCCACCAAACCCCTTTCCTTACCGGGGACAAACGTCCAGCTTTATGGATGGGACTCAGCGACATCCGAATGTGTCACGGGTGTATCATATTTTCCGTATCACTCAAGTCTCCTTTGAAATCGTCTACAGTTGTGTTCATCTTTTGAGAATAGCGTTCCAAGCAGGCAGACGTGGCCTGGTCTTCACCCCCTGCCTTTTCCGTGTGGTTGCCCGCTCAGTTCCCTTTTCTGTGGCCTGACTGAGGTCAACGGGAGCCAAGGCTGGCCAGGGCGTGAGAGAGGCAGCTGCTGGGAGAGCTGGGCTGGAAGAGGTGAGGACTGGCCCACTCTTGATGTTTGGCGTTCCTGCTTTG